TTCGGAACATATAGAGGTATAAATTGTGGAGGAGATGGATACTAAATTCACCGATTTGGTTGTTCTCATAAGATCTTAGCACATTATGGCAAATAACTAAATGATGAAAAATAAAGGTAGAGATTATTTTCTGATTCGATGTCTCTCTTCGGATGTGTAATATCTATTGAAACAGGTAAGTAACGTTAAATCTAAGAAAACGAAACTATCTGTCTCCAATAGTCTTATCAGATTGCGGAAAAGTTTAGGCACAAGTCATAGAAGAATGGAGAACTAAACAAAACTAGCTTTCTTCATTTCTCTCATAAGATGTAAAAGACATTCAAAAAAAACTAGAGTGAAAGAAAAATAGTAAACTCATCCACTTAGTTTTCCTCACAACTTGATGATCAATTATGATAATAAGTAAATGATCAAAAATAAAAGTAGAGATACTTTTCTGATTACATTTCTCTTGTAGGAATCGCAAAAAGAATGACGGTATATTAATAAAGGAAGAGTAATAAAAACTGAATTCACTATCTCTGTTTCTCTTACGAAATTCCGAAAAGTGTAGGCATAATTGATGGGAGAAATAAAACATAATCTGAAGTAATTTTCCTAATATCTTTCATTGGATCGAGAAGATGTATTTGGATAACACAGAAAGGAAATGAAAGCTGTAGGAAAAGGTTTTCTTTAAAACTGTTTCTCAAGGTATGGAAAGAATTTTTTTCATATGCCGTAGTAGAAAGAGATACAACATTTGTTAGTTAATTATCCAAAAAAACGCAAGGCTTTGGTCATAAATCATAGTTTTTCATCGGGTCATCATTTTTCTAAGTGAGTAAAGAATAAAGAAGAGAAGGTGTCCGAATACTTGCTGTTAGAGATACAATTCCTCGTTGTGTCTCTCACATGATCTTTATTTATTATATCCTATTTCGATCAACACGTATATCTTTATATAGAAGAACAAATAGAAATAGAAGTAGTATACGAAAGTGAAGAAAGATAGAGGATAATAGAATAGATAGATAGGAGCGACATCCCTCTAACATTCTCCCATATGTTGAAAGAAATGTCCTATGGACGTTTCAGAATACAGAAAAAGAAAAGTTAACAATATCATGTTTAACAAGTGATATAAAAACAATAAATGAAAAAATAAACGTGAGAACAGAAAAAAAAAATATAAGGCACAAATAGAGCAACAACAATGAAAGACAAAAATGAATAACTGAGGAGAAACAAACAAAAAAATAAATGTTCAGCCACGATGAGCAACATGAAAAAAAATAGTGTGTTGTATCATCGAATATCTGTTATATTATCTGAGCACGTATGATAGTCCAATAATTGAAATGATGATAATGTCATAAACGTGCTTGAGATTGTGTTTGATGAGAATTTAAATGACGATGTGCACGTGGTAATTGATCATGTAATTTAAGTTCTTCATAATGTGCTTTTGTAAATAAATGACGAGATTGTTGTTCATATCTTTTAATCAATTCCGGATTACGAATAGCCACGAATAATTTTCTTTTGTTTGTGGTTGTTGTTGTTGTGTTCAGCACGTAAAATGGAATTTGTT